ACAATAAAAAGTTTAATTTACTTATATTAATTTACCTATAAGACTGTATATAAACTAAAATTTAAATATGATTCAAACACCAGTTAAAACGACAATCGTTTCTATTATCTCTCATAACATCTTAGCCCAGATGATGGTCACAGTGTTGACCGAAAACGTTCGGCTAATTTCTTAATTTTATTTTTTAACTCCTTTTCACTGCTAATCAATAAATATTGAAACAAATAAGTCTTAAGTTAAAGATGATTTATTGTATACTAAACAATGATTTTTGGATCAAATCAATGGAATAAATTCTTTGATCTCTTTTTCTAATGCTTGCTTACAATTGAATCTCAAATGTATGGAACAATTCTAATATTAAACTTTTTTACCTTTTCTATTCTGACAATTGATTTATAGCAATTTAATCAGTTAAAGCTATTTATATCCTTAATAGACATAATAACACTTTATTTTGCAATAATTGGATTAATGTAATGAAATGCGAGAGCAGTTATAATTAAATAAACTTTTGATGTCTTATAGGCTATAGTGTGGCCTTTGGTTGGGACTCAACTCATGGAGACTATGAGAAGCGCCAGTTAGTACCGCTGCCCCGGTTTGTTAATGCCTTTTACATTGAATTAATTAAATAAATTGCCAAACAATTGATGACAAGATGTGGTGTACCCTAAAGGATAGGCAGGTCTTATACTGAGGAGAAGCGTCAGGGGCTGATCCCATCGCCACGAGTGGGCCGATCGTCGATGTCTTCATATAATGGTATCGAAACCGATTGCTCTCTGACTCCCGAGTTATGTAATGAACTCATGGATAGAGACCCGCATGAAGTGCATGAAGCCATCCCTGTCCTAAGAATAGGCCGATTGTCGGGACGTAGGAAGAAGTCGTTCACAGAAGACTATTCTAATGATATGAATGCCGACGACTTTGAGTTGACGAAGACGTTGCGCTCGAATCCCTGGGATTTCGACGTTAACCCCAACTTCTTTGAGCGAAACGTCCGCCAATTGATTCCGGCCCCGAGAGTCGGCAGATCAGCCAATACTCATACCAATGAAATGCGATTAATTTCAGGTTATAATACCGTCGATGACGACGATGTCGACCCAATCGACCTCCAATTGAGGGCCGCATTCATACCACGGCTGGGGAAGCGTACGACACATAAGTCTTTGGATCAGTCCATTGATTCGGACGACATCTACAAGAGGGCGGCCGCCTTCACCCCTCGCATAGGAAGGGCTGCCTTCACCCCAAGAATCGGCAAAAAGGCGTCGTTTGTGCCCAGAATTGGCCGCTCATCCGCTTAATTAAGTAACTATTTTGTCAGAAATTGTATTCAATTGAGAATA